TTTACTTAATTTTTTATAGATCTAACGAATAAATATTACTCTCAAAATTTAATATAGTAAATGAATTCTAATTAATTTTTTTTTAATATGTAGTTCTTGTTTAATAATTTTACTTGATTTAAAAAACTTCATTTATACACTATATATGTTAAATTTTTATTTAAAGCTTTTATCTTAAAACTTAAAAAATAAAATTAAAACCACCACTTATTTAATGGAGGGAGTAATACGTAATCCCGTAATCCCGTGGAAGATACTACAGAACAGAACAAATGGCTGAAAGTCCAAGAATAATGGGAGACATATATAAGAAGGCAAAACTAAAAAACAGGCCGTCCTGGGGCAAAATGGAAAGTTCTTGGAGCCGGCGTATGGAATGGGGCGTGGAAAAATCATGTTAGGTTTCATCTCCGAGCTGGTCGGGAAACTAATGGTAGGCGTGTCTAATGGGTCATGGAAATGGTAGAATAATGGCAGGCAAATAAAAATGTAGTAATAATATCAAGACCACTAATTCTTTGTTGGTCGGTTGTCCAATAAGATTGTAGTCCCAGTCTCAGTCCCAGTCTCAGTCCCAGTCTCAGTCGCAGTCCCAGTCCCAGTCCCAGTCCCAGTCTACACCATACTTTGGCACTTTACATTACTTTCTTGACGATACATTTTTTAAAAATTAAGGAACTTTCAATTTTGCTCCTTAGGAAACATAGAATTATTGGATACTTGAAAGCAAGGGAAGGAAAATGAAAAGTTGAGTTATATATATATATATATATATAATTAAAATGATTGACTCTTTTTATTAATTTGGAACTCATGATATTAAATACATTTACTCATTTAATGATATATGAAAATTATATAAAAAGATAATACAAAAATACTGTTCTTATATCACCATCCAAAAGTCTCCTTTTTGTTTCTGTTTAAGGGTAAATACATAAAAATAAAAATTGCTCCTAAATTCTTAATATGAAGTTAAAAATTGAAATATATCTATTAATCTAAAATGGAGAGAGTTTGTTAATAAGGTCCATCTGAGACTATCAATTATTCTTTTATATTAAAATAATTGTTATTTTTTAATTAAGAATTGAGAATAGTTTATATATTTAAATATACCATCCTTAAGAAAAGATAAACAAAGATTTTTTTGATAAGATAAATAATTAAAATAAAAAGATAATAATAAGACTAAAATATGTAGAAAA